ATTTTGGAAAAATCGCCAGGTCGGAGAAAAATAGGTCGGACAATTTAAATTCACCCTGCGAAGACGAGGGAAGACCGGACCGGCCGGGGGGAACGGGGCGGGGTGGCCGGCGCCAGGCTGACGGCGGGGGTAACGGTGAGCCCCGGGGCCACCTTACCGGGGCCCAGGCTCTACCCTGGGAGAACCGCGGCTGGCGCAGCAAGCAACTACCCGCATAGAGACGCGAGAAGCTCGTTTACGAGTTGATGTCGAGCAGCGGCGAAGACACGACTTGGAACAAGTCACCTCCGTCTTAAGCTCGGGGAGAAAATTCCGCGAACTAATGTATTCCTACGCCAAATACAGACAGGTCGGGTAATGACATTCAAGTTGTAACTTGCACCTCCACGTTTTAATGTGTATAAAAGCTCTAATCAAAGATCCTCGGGCTCCCCGCCACGACGTGTGCAGACTGCAGACGAGAAGTGCTTCGAGCGCCCAGAGGTAGGCAATACATACGGCCTCCCTGCTTGATGGGTTGACTGTCGACACGGCGTGTTGCGCCCAGTCTGTTCTCTCACTGTCGGTTATTTGGTCGTTGCGAGGGAATCAAGAAGGCGAAGTTTTATAAAATGAAGAACAGTTTAAACCAATTTTCACTTTATTGTTTTTAGCTGTTTATTTAATATTTTCAAGTGATGTAGGATGGCTCCAATATATGTACATTTAAGCGAAAATAAATATTTATTTACTCTGTATAAAACAATATATTACATTTAATGTTCTTATGTATGGAAATATTCTACGCTAATTCTTTCTATCATCCTATATAAAGCTCTATCCAGTCAGAAATAAGTCGTCGAAACAGCACCAATTCACTCTCAGCCTCAGCAGTCCTCAATAATTGAATTCCTCTTAAACTATTACATTGAATAGATACTTAAAACAACATAACATAAACATTAAAAACATCTTTAAAATTTAAAATACTAAGACGACGCGATGAGATTAAAATCAGAACATGTTTTCGTAAACTCATTTCTAACTGGACTAAAGTCCGAGAACCCATCGAAATTGAGAAAATGACATTACCAAAGAAACTCACAGCCTTTTTTTCCAGAAAATAAACTAGAGTGCACAACATAAGACAGCGAAACAGACAGATGAAAGCAACGAAGACGAAAAGGAACATGATTAAACTAAACGCTCGCACGGAACGTAAGGTCTCCAACCAAAGAACGCATCCCTTACGCACATATTCAACTGCCAGAAAACAGATGAGGAAGGTGGAAGCTGCTGAACTTTATTACGGTGTCTTAAGTGGAGCCTGTACTTTTAAACTTATGTCTCAAGAAGTACATTATTGAATGCTACAGTACGTCTGGTAAGGATAGCAGTGGCGCACAGTTTTCCAAATATCACAGCAAATAGAAAAGCAGTTAAAATGACCGTCACTGGTTTTTCAAAACGACACTTCGATTTCGTTTGATTCATAAACGAATTTTCTCTTAAGCCCTTCCAGAATCATTCGTATGGGATAATCGTGCGTTATGGACGGAAATCATCGGCACTACACTACAAACGAGAATGCAGTTTAGTGTTGACAGAAAGAATCAAAATTACTGACTTTTCAAGGTTCACTAAACGAGAGGCTGCGATGCCCTCTTATATGTAGTTATGAACAACTATTTATCACAATGGCTGAAAGACGGATCCCTCGTAGAGAAAACCGGTGAAGAACCTCTAAGGACTCAATATTCTCTACTGACACGGAATACTACGACCGTGCCGGTCCCCCGAGATTGGCAGTCATAGTTTACATTTTCCTGAGACTGATGGCAGTTTACGTTAAAGCTTACGCAAGCGTAATAACAGAAATAACAAAAATATGATACGCACAAATATGCCATTTAAAATACAGTCAGGCCACGAGGGCAGACTTATAAGAAACGGATATGCTGGAAGATTGCTGCCGTACATATAGATAATTGATTAGACAACCTCAACAAGGTGAGTGTTTCACCTTAACTAGCATTAAATTTATAAAGAGGAATATCTGCTAGGGAATCTCTCACAGGAAGTAGTTAATGCAGTAATATGTCGTATCGACGCCGTTTGTACCAACGCAACGTACATCAGACTAACACACTACAGTCGTCTGTTGCGTTTCATTGCGACTCCATAAACTAAAACTTTTTACACAATTTTCACACTTGTACTATCCTGGCTAATTACGACGAAAATCGTAAATTATTGTCACAGCTCTATCCACATTTTATGCGAATCTGTTTGCCCATTCGACGTATTTAAGGGGATATAAAGTTCATTCTGACAAATTACAGAGTAAACATTCATCTCGAAGAGATTTATCATATTATGTACTGATAAAACGGCATCGACCAAAGTTTACAACACACTTTATTAAAATGGTAACTTAGTCCTGTGATGTTCGGTTTCTATCAAAAATTAAAAGTCTTCTCTAACAGGTACGTTTGCGAGAAGGTGCTCAGATCAAACCGACTCTTAGACAGGAGCACAATTTCATTTCCTATCAAAGCAATTATTTTTCTATTAATTTTAAAGCGCTTACTGGATAATTTACAAAATTACATCAGCATCGCCCAAAATGTGTCGCATCAACAGGTCCATTGAAACGTCTATCAAACTCATAACTCGCACGCCCTCACATGCACGCACTCATGCACTCATACTAACACACGCGCACACGCTCAACGTACGACAGCAGTTTGGGGTGGATGCGTTTAGATCTGTTCGTTCCCATTCCAGCTCAGTGGCAGCCCGGCGACAGCCTTCAGTGAAAAACGACAAGGACAGAGCGAACATAATACGAACGTCCAAAACGCGGCCGCGCTTTCGTTTCGGCTGGGAGGGCAGAAACACGGGTTGCTTGGCTTGCTTATGGCACGAAGAGGAGTGCGGGGCCCGGGCGCGGCCTACACCGAGTCCCGCTCGGCGCGGCGCGGCGGCTCCTAGGCGTTCAGGTGCGCCGCGCTCAGCACCACGGGGTCCCTGCCGACGTCCGTCAGCTCGACCTGCACCACGTCGACCGGCTGCCGGGCGGAGGGTGACCCCTGCGGCGGCCCCGGCCCGGCAACGGCGTCGGCGTCGGCGTGGGGTCATACGCTGGTCTCTGACCGCACCTTGCCGCCCTGAGTGATGGGGTTCAGCTCCTCCTCCTGGCTCGGCGTCGGCGCCTGCTCGTCCACGAAGTTGATGCTGCCCGACTTGTACCACACGACCAGGTCCACGAAGAAGGCGCACAGCATGATGGCTCCCGTCGTGCCTGCGGGCGCGAGGACACACACAATTAAACTCAAGTTCGGAGAGGAAGGAGTTTTAGACTTTTCAAACAGGGCTAGCACAGAGGGCAGGCGTAATAAGTCACCATCGAGCCCGAGCGAACAGCGCGCGAGTCATGGGGGCACGTACCGTGGTAGAACATCCTGAATATGCTGGCGTCGTAGAGCCAACACGCCCCCTTCTTCCCGTAAGCTGTCTCCCACACGAGGCAGGCCGAGTCCACCACCGCACCGTACACGATCGGGCACGGCACGTTGCCTGCGAGAGAGGACATGAAGCAAAGAGTGAGTCCGGGACCACGGCGGTGGTGGTGCTGGTTGAGCGTCGAGGGAAGCGCTCTGCCCGCTTACCAAAGAGGCCGATGGCGAACTGGATCAGCCCCAGCGCCATCGCCTTGTCTCGGGGATCGACGCACCGCAGGATGAGCAGCATGGACCCCACCTCGGACGTGGAGTGGATGAAGACGAACAGCGAGAAGAGCAGGATGTACCAGATGAAGTTGCCGCACTGCAGGCCGCAGTAGCCGACGCTGGCCTCGGCGGGGAACTCGCCCGTCACGAGGTGGAGCGGCGTCGACGCGTTGGAGTACATGCAACGGCAGTCGGAGAACTGCGGAGTGGGAACGCAGAATGCGTTAGTGACCCCGCCCGGACATGGCTGACTCTGGATGCGAAGCTGTAGTGTACTCACCCCTTCGATCATGCCCGTGACGTCTCGCGAGACGTTGGTGCAGCCCGCGTGGCACGCCGAGAAGTACGTCCTGCCGTCCGCGCCGCAGATGGGGCTGAACTTGGCGTCGTCGCACGCACATGTACGGTTGCACACGGGCTCGAACCTCGGCAGGCCGTCCTCCTGCGGTATGAGGCCCGCGAAGTCATCCATCGGGCAGCCGATGAACATGAGGACGCCCATGCCTAACAGTAGAGAGTCCGTTTAGTCATGGCCATGGCGCCACCGGGGGACGGGCGCGTCGAGGAGGAAGCACTCACCGACGGCGTAGACGAGGGCGGTGAAGGCGATCCAGGCCGCGACGAACCTCGCGTTGGGCTTGACGCGCAGGATGAAGACGCCGCTGATGACGATGCCGAGCCCCATCACCAGGATGCCGCCGACACCCGAGATGAAGGCGGCGCGATGGGCCGGCATGCGGAACTGCGACTCGAGGTACTTGGGCAGGAAGGTGTAGATGCCGGCGATGGGCAAGATGTGCAGCACGCTGCTCGCCGTCCGGCACATGAGGATGTCGTTGTGCAGCAGCCGCTTCACCGCCTTGGGGAAGTCTGCGGGGCAAACGGTTCGTCAGGTCCGCCCGGCAGGCAGGCAACCCATCGGGCGCGCGGCGCGGGGAGCCGCCGTGCGGGCAGGCAACCCAACGGGCCGCCGGCCGGCCGGCCAGTGCCTCGGCTGCCACTCTCACTCTCACCTCTCAGGCTGGGGTTCTTCTTCTCCCTGCGCACCGCCCTGGGCGCGGGCCGCGACGTGCTGAGCCTCTTCGGGAACGAGAACATGGCGAGGGAGGCCAGCATGAGCATGGACGACACGAGCACCAGGCCTGTCGGCAGAGGAGGAGAGAGACGGTCAAGTTTATTTCGAATTTGTCTCCATTTCGCCGCAGCACGGGCAGTGGGCAGGCGGCTGACTTGTTATTGACCCCTCGCGCGGGGCGGGGCGCGGGGAGGGTGGGCTTTCGCGCACAGCGCCCGCCTCCATAGAAGCTCATGCCATTCATGGCTCTCCCCGCTGTGCCCCGCTGTGCCCCGCTGTGCCCCGCTGTGCCCCGCTGTGCCCCGCTGTGCCCCGCTGTGCCCCGCTGTGCCCACCGTGGTTATCAGCTTATCGCCAGTCCATGACACGGCACGGTGCCCAAAGGGACGCGTACTCGCACGTACCAGCGGGGAAAATAAGGGGAGTGGATACGAACGGGTACTTATCGCTACAATGGAGCTAACATGGTTAGTGAAATTTATCACACACGTTTAAAATAAATTGTTGCAAAGTGTACTTACCAAGCCACCAGGCCCCGACCCAGCGCGGGTCCTCCGGGGTGATCTTCGGGTCGACAGAAAGGTCGGCGTACAGCCGCGTGCAGAGTGATCCTAGGATAAAGCCAAGCGCGGGGCCCAGGATGCGAACTCCGATGGTGATCGCTGTGGCAGACAACACGCTGGTAAAGCCGTCGTCCAGGTGCGAGCGTCGGGTCATGACGTAAATTAGAGTGAAGGACGTGTGTTTCTGGTTTCAATGTCGTACCAAAGTAAAGCGGAGACTCTCGGCTTGCGACGTTGTCGTCTATGTACGGTATGCCGAGCGTGTACACCGCCGTCTGTCCCATGCCGACGCCGAGCAGACTGATGAAGAAGATGGCCAGCACGATCGTGGTGATCTTGCCGTTTTGGCGTTGCTTCTCCTCCTCCTCGCACCGCTTGCCCCTGGGAAAAAGATACAGAGAGATGCCGGGTCAGGATTATGTAGTTTTTCTTTTCTTTCCTTTTTTGTGGTGGGGTTGTGGTGGAAGTGTTAGCGGCCTTGGGTTTAGTTCGTATGGGGTAACCTTAATACGATGCTGAGAACGTACTTGTTCTCCTGTGCGGTCCATGGAAGGTTGTCATCGGCGCACGAAGTGCCGTTGGCGGGCCATCCGAGGTGCTCGTTGTCCTCGAGGCGGCAGATGTTCGGCCCGTAGACGAAGGTCTCGCTCTGGTTCACGGGGGTCTTGACGGGGTCCCTCATGGCCTGGATCATCTGCTTGCCGAAGATGAAGTGCGGCATGGAGCAGGTGAAGGACGAGACGGCGAAGAGCACCATACCTGCGGATCATAGCGCTCACGTCAACAACCCCGACCTCGACAACAGTGCAGTCCTGATAGTGAGGCGTGGCGCGGCCGCGGCGGCTCGGCTCGGAGTGTATCGATAGTGCAAGTAGTTGAGCGAGGCTGTGCGGCTGATAGTGCAAGTGAGCGAATGTGCTTCGGCGCGCCGCGCCACTCGTAGTATTGATAGTGCAAGTGAGGCGCTGCTGCTAATAAACCGGTCCTGCCGGCGTCGGGCAGAGGGAGAGGGGGAGAGGGAGGGGAGGGGAAGTGCCGGGCTGCGCACGATCGTCATGGTGGTTCCGACCAACCTGTTCGCCGGCGGCAGCGAGCGGCGCCCAAGAAGCGGCAGAAGGAAGAAAGGGGGAGAGGGAAATGAGGGAAGTAAGGAAGCTGTAGGGCACAGCACTGTAAAAATCTAATCCTTGTAATTCGACTTCAACAGCTGTCGCAAAATGAAGAGTAACGACAGAAGAATGTTTTGACACGACTCGAGGTGAAAGAGAAAGAGGGGTAAAAGCGGAAGTAGTGTGGATAAGTGTGCGGTTTGGGTAATCGTTGTCGTACGGAGTAAGATTCAAACATCTCGTGTAGCTCGAGCTCACCCCAGGCGATCCACTTCGGCCGGTGTCCTTGCCCGCCGTAGTACGTGAGGAGCAGGGACGACCCAATCTGCCCGATCTCGGTGGCGCTCATGATGAGCCCCGTCGTCTTGGACTGGATCTGGAAGAGCTTCTCGATGGTGGTGATGACGGATACGAAGTACGTGTAGTACATGCCCTGCAGCACCCAGGTGATGCAGAAGGTGGCGAGGAACGCCTGCTTCGAGGCAAAGATCTGCAGCCAGCGCGGCGCGCACGGCCCCAGGCCGCACTGCATCTCCTCCAGGTCCAGGTCGTCGTCGTCCGCCTCCGCCACCACAGCTGGAACAGAGAGCGAGATGACCGATCAGCTGACGAGGGCGGTGGACAGCGACAGTTCGTGATTGCGCTTAAAACTTCAATGAAAACAAGAAATTCAACTGTTTTGAAAAACGCGTCGAAGGAGCTTTCTATTGTTCTTTCGAATGTTGTGCCCCGACCGCCGCACCGCCAACGCCAAGGCGCGCCCTACGCCGACTCTATTTTCTACTCGGCTCGGCCACCAAGGGGTTGGGCGGGGCGGGGCGGGGCTGGCCGCGTCGCGTCGCGCCGCTCCACGGCTGGGTGAATGCCCGCCTGCACGGCGCAGGGCCGGCGGCAGCCGTCACGAGCGGGTTGCCTAACCAGCCCCCTACCACCTGCTGCCTGTCTCGATATGATTGGCTGAGCCGCCAAGCAATAAAAATAAAGAATCTGAATAAGAATAAGAGGCGAAGCCTTAACAATCGAGTGGAGTAGCCCCCAGGAGTTTGGGAGATCACGGCCCAACTTATGGGGATCCAACCTTCCCAATCGTAAAGTTTATAGGGTTGATGTGAGTCAGAGATATGTTGTTTTGATCAGAGCACTACAAAAATTGCTGCGAAACTAATTGTCGAGCAATTATTTTCTTGGAAAGATAACTGAGGGCAAGGTTAAAATGAGCGCTTGCTTCTAAAACGCCGTATGTTGCAGTCTGTGCGTTGGCAAGCCTGCGCATGAGAACGGGAAGGAAGAACTGAGGTATATTTCGTACGCGCGAGGAGCGGCGTCCAGTAAATGGGCAAAATGGGTACAAAAAAAAAAACTAAGGAGGGAAGAAGTTGAAAATTACTTCCCCAGGATAATTAATTGCCAACATAACAAAATCACAAAAGAACGGAAACGCACATCGCTTCCGCGACCAGGGATCAGCCTCTTTGTCAATAACAATGCCTAGTATCTCTCCCCGCCCCGCTACCCAAGTTTATTTCAAAGCCCACTCTTGCAGGAGGGGGTCTGGAGTGCAATGAGAAGGAATATCAGCGGCGTCAGCCTGGACGCGGGCGACGCGCCCGGACACGCCAAAGGCCGGCGAAACACACAGAGGCAGACCGCGGTGGCCCGCGGCCGGTGGGCGGTGGGCTCCCTGAGGCGTGGGGCCCTCTGCGGGGGCTGGCCGCGCGGGGCGGGGCGGCGCGGGGCCGGCAGACCTTGGACTTGGCAGCCACGCTGTTATTTCATTAAGAAGCAGAGGACGCATCCTGTCCTTGGCATTCGGTAACAGCGAACAGCATCGGAGCGGCGCACTTTCGCTACACCACCGGCACGCCCCCCCCC